CAAGATCCGCAGAGGTGTTTCGGTTCCTCAGAGGCAAACGTATTACATAAAACATTTCATTATTTTTAACCTTCTTTTGTAGAATTTTTTACATAATAATCACATAAGGTATTAGTGTATTTAAAATATATATATATTAATAAACGAAAATAAACGCAAAAACGAAAAAACAAATTAAAAAAATCAAAAAACAAAGATTCTGCAGAGCTGTAGAGGATCCGCAAGGGCTTTAATGGATCCGCAGAAGGTGCTCTGCGGATCCTTTGGTCATTTTCCGAAATCTTTTTTTTTTCTTGGTTATTTACTTCAAACCACCTCCTCTTTTTGGTCATTTCTGGAATTTTCTCACATAGAAGGGGTGGGAGGTGTGAGAGATGGACTCCCTCTTGAAAGAGCTTTTGACAAAAACTTGTTAATAGACAAACTTTTTAGAGCATACAATATGGGTGGTGTTATAAGCCGTTATGGCTGAGTTGGCACCCATAACCTCGTTATAACACCATGAACGTCACCCTCAAATGGTGTCATGGCATAAAATGTGTTAACGGCAACATGTTTTAACGTGGAAAATTAACCAATCATCCTTCTTCTTTTCTTCTCATTTTCTTTCTCTCTCTATCTTTAACATGTTATAACATAGAAACATCATTTCCTATATGGTGCTAAGATGATGTTAAGATTGAGGTGACATGTGAAATGATGTTATAATATTGACTCATACATAATGCTCTTAAAAAACTTTGTTTTGAAAACGTTCTTTTATAGGTTTTTCAATTTTTAAGAGGCTTATATGGTTCATCAATCTATAAAAAATTGAAAATTTATTGCAAATAGAATAAAAAGCTAAATTGATATTATTCCGTATAAAATGTGACAATACATTTTATAAAGTGGACCAGAATTATTATTTGGTATATAAGTAATTAAGTATCGATTAGGTAAATCACTATACACATTGAAAAAAAAATCGTGATTATACTCAAAGGCCTTTTTTTTTTTTGTAGATTTTTATCTTAGACAAACATATAAAAACTAATTAAAAAAAATGATATGCAACTGTGCTAAAAATGGCATATTTCTCACAAATATTTTTAAAATTATAATACATATTTTTACCATTAAAACGAGTAAATATAACGTATAATAAATTCAATGATGAAAAATCATATATACATATTAAAACTAAGTTTTTCAGTTACAACTTGTTAAACACTCTCCAATTAGGTGTCCAACTGAGAGTGTTTAATTATGGTACGTATTAAATACTTCAGCTAGTCAATAGTCCATTATATTTATTTACTATTTCCTTTCAAATCACAGTCAATCATCAACAAATTAACATCGGACAACTTTCTTGAAGAACCAGTCAAACCTCAATACATGACAAACCCGTATGGTACAAACCCAAATGCATAACTTACAAGTCATTACTGCAATATGAAATCATCATCGGGAAAAATCAAATTGGCAACGTATTATAGGGTTTTCTAAATTCTACCAAAGACTTCTTTAAGCGATTACTAATTGTACTTACTATAGTTTTGTTATTACATGGAATATTCCATTCACTAAAAACAAATATATAACCAACTGATAAGAGACAACGGCCTATCATGTGAACCCAGAAAATAGTACAAGCAGGTATGCTTGCTTACATCTATAATCTATTTATATAATAAATAAAATATATAAATTAATGAAAAATAAAATAAAGAGATACTTCTTTGTATTATGTGTATGACATAATTTCCATGTCTTTATTATGTAAATTAAATCATATGATAAGTAGTTGTTTCAATTAGACATTAATTTGTGCAGTAGACGGGGGATACCACATTGTGGGGACTCCATAGTCCATACATATACCAATATACCATGACTACGTAAATACACCCTACTACATAGACTCATAGAGTACAACATAGCATGAGTGATGTACAAGTTTGAAGGCATAATGTACAATAGAAAGAGAGAAGGATGGGATACAAAATAGATGCATTGTAAGTACCATCAAACTATTAAATGTGTGAGTAAAGTTGATAAATGCTCCATTACGGAAGTCTTAATCAACATTAATCTTTTTTATATTTAAAAAAAGAAAGCTCTAAAAATATTTAAAAGATATTATAAAAAGTGTACTATTCATCTTTAGAATTTTAATTCCTTGTATTTGTAATATCATATAAAATCGTATATTGTGTTTTCTTTTCAAAAAACGCATCAAGAAAAGACGTACAGAAAAACAAGACTGTTGTGACTTGTGAGTTGTCCATCCAAAGAGCCGAATTTATTAAAATTCTCTTTTATAAAATAAATACAACCAGCTTTTTATTTTTCAAGTATGCTTAAGAATTTATTAGTAAATTTCATTCTAAATTTACACATTAGACTTGTTACAAAATATTAGTGACATCAGTATGAATTTATATTATTTTAATTTTATAACTATTACAATATATCTTAATGATATTAGTTTTGATTTATATTTTTTAATTTTATAACTATTACAATATATTTAAGTTATCATATTAATTTTTTAGAAAATTATTTTCAAAAACTTTATATATTAATATCAACTATTGTGACCTATAAATACCCCTGGTTCCCCACCCATCACATGCATTAGTTGAAAGGTTCCAACAACTCCCCCACTTTCTCTCCAAATCCCTTTTGCTCATCACAAAAAACCAAAAATTGGTGTTTCCAAAATAAAATAAAATATTTTGGATTCAAAAAGCAAGCAAAGAGAGAAGGATTTCAATTGTTTCTAATTCTTCCAACATTTTCTTGTTTTTTGGCAACATAAACATGGGGAACTACATGGAAACATGCATTCAAAGAAAACCAACAGAAGAAGAAGAAGCACGAGAGAAACAAAAACAGGAGCGACGAGAGAAGCAAGAATCTTATGAAAAAACAAGTGATACTTTGAGCAAGGAGAGTAGTAAAATAAGGGTAAAACTGGTATTAACAAAAGATGAGCTACAGTGGCTGCTGCTTCAGTTGAAGAAGAATGAAGGAAGGAAACTGGAAGAAATGTTGGGGGAGATTGAAAAGAGTAGAGTAACAGGGGAAAGTGTTACAAAGTGGAAACCTCGTTTAGAAAGCATCATGGAGAGTCCAGAAGTTCATCATCACATGGAAAGATCGTCATCACCATGAGTTCAAATTACTATTTTACCCCTACCGGTACCCCTCAGCATCTTCTTCTCTTTCATGCCCAGATTTGTAATTATGTATGTATTTTTTATTGGGCTTCTTTGATTGAAGCATGAGTAGTTATATCACATAGTCACTGTGCATTCATGGTATGAAAAATCGAACGGGTGGATGTGTCTGGGCCCAGTCGATATTGCTACGAGATTGATCTTCCTTCCTGCAAATAGTGATCAATAGTCAACTCATGTCAAAGTTTATTTGTTGCTTGAATTCATATTATTATTATTAAGCAAATTAATGAAATGTTGAATTTGTTGTGCCTTTTTCTGAGTAACAAGCTTTAAAATTCACTCCCATGTGACATGTCATGTCATGTGGTTCATGGTACAGGATGAATGCTACACTCAACAATGATGCCGGCCATTAACTCTTGTATTCCTAAGCTATTTGACTTGCATCCTGAAATAAGAACAATTACAAGAAGCTTTATCCATAATCAACATTTGATTTTTAATAGTCAAATATATAGCTAGATATGTTTGAAACTTTGAAATTGAGAAGAAATGCTTCATGTTTTTTAATATATTTTTCTGCCATTTCTAAAAAAAAAATAAAAAATGCTTCATGTTTGTTTGAAGGGAAAATATTTATAATCATGTTAGCTATGTTAAAAACGTTATGAGCTATAAATTAAAAAGAACTATAAAAATCAATGTGAACTGAATTTAGAAAGTAGTAATTAGGACTTTGGTCATCTTGAACATATGAAGGAACTTATTAGAGAAACTAGATTTATAGTGTTAATATTTTATTCATACACGATTGTAGCTTTCATACTCATAGGATCGACGATTCCTTTTCAAAATGATAACAATCTAACTACAATCACTGCAATTTTGGTTTCGTTTATTATTATTATTATTATTATTATTATTATTATTATAATTTTTTTTTTTTTTTTTTAAATTGGATTGTAATTTGCTTTAGAAATTGAGGAATGTTTTCTTGATAGGCAAAGCTTGTGGGAGTGATCTAATGTTTGTCCGGATCATCTTTTTGGCATCTACCTCACCACCCACACCGTCCAGATCATTTTTACAACATGCATGGCTAGGGATGAGCATTTGGACCGGGGAACCGGCCAGAACCGGTACCGGAACCAGAACCCGGTGGAACCGGTCGGGTCGGGACCGGGACGATATTCATGTGGATTTTTGGAACCGGAAAAACCGGCAGAACCGGCAAAAACCGGAACCGTATGTTTCTATTTCTCGATGATCGGTTCCAACATTGAAGACACAACAAGAACCGGGAATCGATAGAACCGGTAGGAACCGGGAATCGATAGAACCGGAACCGGTAGAACCGGCGGTCCGGTTCGGTTCTTAATTTCGGCCGACTTCGGTTCCCGGGCCGGGTCCGGTTCGTGCCGGTTCCAGCCGGGTCGGTTCCTTTGCTCATCCCTATGCATGGCATGCCATTTTGGGGATGGGTTAAGATTGGATTTTTTGTTTTTTTTTTCTTTTAAAAAAAAAAAATTAAACTCCATACTTTTATAAAAAACATATATTTCATTAAAATAAAATAGAAAGTTATAACATTTGAAACGTTTAATACTAGATTTAATACTTGACTTAATACTAGACTTAAAACTTGACTTAAATTCGATTTAAAACATGACTTAAAACAAAACTTAAAATATAAATCCTACAAATCTTCCAAATTATGTTTCTTCATAATTTCTTTCTTCACTTTCTCCAAAGATCGACATTGATTCTTGGGTAATTTTGAAACGTCTTTTTATCAAAAGTTTAAAATCGCGATTTTTTTTGAGCAATTTGCAACATTTTTTTGGATGTGTTCATTTAACTCTAGGAGTCTCAATCTCTTATCCTCACTATGACTTGAAGAACCTTCAACACCCGTTAGCTTTCTCTTTGCTTGATCACTTCACATAGGATGGCTCGGCCTTGGAACTTCATAAGGTTCGTCATCGTTGAGGTGTATCCTAACATGTACATCGGAAGACTGGCTATGAGAGTTTTTGGATGTTTTGGTTCTTTTTTAACTACCTGTGAAATCTTCCGATGTGTATTTTTTAAACCATTTTTCTTTGTCCTTCACAACACTCCAAAAGTCAATATTTTTGAACGCTTATTCTTTGATTTGCAGAACACTTATTGAGCTTTGGCTAGGATTTCTGAGTCGTTAGCACCACTTGGCCAAGATCGCTTCATGTTGACGAAGACACCATTGAACTCCATTGCAAGTTTGCTTGTATTCCTCCATTTCGAATTTGGTATGTTCCTCTCTTCATTCGGTTAAAAAATTCCACAATTTTACATAAAAAAATTTCCCATCTTGGTCGTCTCCAAGGATAAGGTCCTCCCATATGTCAACCCATGCTTCCGCTAAAGCCTTCTCTTCATCCTATTTCCAAGCTTGGTTTTCGGTCTTCCCTTTTTTCTTCGTGTCGACTTGAGGCTCGGGTGCATCTTTGGATTCAATTGTTAAATTGGAATCAATAGGGGGTTGAGATTGGAATAGATTTTCTTGCAATGTTTCAAATGCGTTAAAATCAGGTTAGGGTATGTGTTGGGATTAGAATTGGATGGAAATTGGGATTGGGATTGGAATTGGGGTTGGGGTTGGTTTGCTCCATAAGTATAATATGGAACATTTTCGTGCTAGTGATACATTGGTGGTGAGTAGATGAGTGCATCAAGTTAAGGTCGGTACACCAAAGGCAACAAATTGGTTGATGAGATGTGTAACATCCTCCTCCAGCACGTATCACAATATTGTCCGCTTTGGGCCACTCAGCACGAGGACTTCCTAGGGGGTCACCCATCCCGGTACTACTCCCACTCGAGCACGCTTAACTGCAGAGTTCTTATGGGACCTACTGCCCTCACAGCTTTAAAACGCGTTGTGATAGGGAAGGTATCCACACCCCTTTTAAGGAATGCTTAGTTCTCCTTCCTAGTCGATGTGGGATCTGGTGCAGCTAACCTGCCCGCCTTCACCCCCCATTATAGGTTTCGACGTCCCCGTCGAACACATCGACCCGTGCCCTAGCTCTGATACCATTCGTAACATCCTCGTTTGGCACGTATCACAATATTGTCCGCTTTGGGCCACTCGGCAAGAGGATTTCCCAGGGGGTCACCCATCCCGGTTTCTATTTCCACCCGAGCACGCTTAACTGCAGAGTTCTTATGGGATCTGCTGCCCTCATGGCTTTAAAACGCGTTGTGATAGGGAAGGTATCCACACCCCTTTCTGTGGATATAAAGATCGTTGAAAACGGAGTTGGAACGAAGAATATACGACGTTTGAAGTTAGGAAGGTTTTAGGTTTAGCCTAGTACGATGGGTGTAAAGGGAGTACACGGGCGTACTAGGCATGGCCGATCACAGAATTTAGTTTGGTATATTGGGCATACCAGGAGTGTATTGGGCGTACGTGACCAGAACCCAAACCCTAATTTTAGGGTTTTGAGCCCTATTTAAGCTCCTTAGCTTCCCCAACCCTCTCCATTCTCAACCTCCATCCCTTTAATGTCCTCCCTTGAAACCCTAACCATAGTTTGAGCCTTGTGAGCTAAAGAATGAGTTTTTGAGTGATTTGGAGTGTTCTTGGTGCATCTTGGAGAAGAAGGAACCCGTTGAAGAAGTGTTGGTTGCATTGGAGCTTGTAGATCTAGACCTTGTTCACCTTGATCTTTCTTTTTGGGGGTATAAATCTTGAATCTTGATGATGCATTTGTTAGATCTAGCTAGTTTTGGGTGTTATGAGCTTTTGGTCACTTTAGTGCATAAAGTTTAGATCTTGAAAGTTTGTGACCTTGTTATGGATAAAGTTGGAAACTTTATCCATCTAAACATCATATTGATTCAGATCTAAAGGTTGGGGACTTGGACTTAATGGATTAAGTTGAAAAAGGTGCACTTTTGGCCCCTTTGAGACTTAAAGACTAGATCTTGGTTGTTTGGACCATTCTAATGGATAAAGTTGGAAACTTTATCCATTATGGAGTTATTAGGAACCATAAAAATGTGATCTTGGTCCTTCTATCCCTTTTGTTAAATGTAACTCGAGCATTTGGATCATTTTCATGTAGCATTTGGAGCACTTGGAACTAAATGGAGCACTTGGGATTCATGGAGCATGTAACAAAGGAACGAATCATCTGAGAAAGGAATGGATCGTCTGACAAAGGAACGAATCAAGTGCCAAAGGAACAGATCGTACAAAAGGGGGTTTGGAGCACTTGGGAGTGATATGGAGCAACAAGGCAACCTTGTTGCTCCATATGTTGAAGGGATGGGCCAAGAAGGATGTTGTTGCGCCAAGGGCATTCCTTCTTGCGTCATTATGCTCCCTCTTGCGACATGAGGGGTTTCTCTTGCGCTATGAGGTGGTCTTGTTGATCCATGGAGTATGATCTTGCGCCATGCATGGACTTGTTGTGCCATGTATGTTCCTGTTGCTCTAAGGTGGTGGTGTTTCTCCAATCTTGATGTTCTTTTGCCATACTTGAAGCCTGTTGTGCCATCCATACACTTGTCGCGCCATCATGGTGCAAATTGGACCATTTTGGTCCTTGATGAGCCAAGTATGCTATGAAGTCCTCTATGATGCTCGAGATCATTCAAGGATGCTCAGAAGTTGGTATTTCTCAAGGATTACACCATGTTGTGCCACCATGATGGTTGTTGGGCCATTAATGTTCATGATGCGCCACTTATACATCATGTTGCTCCACTATGGAACAAGGTGCTCTATCATGTGTGTTGTGGATGCTCATGGGTTGTATGACATGGATGAATGTTCGAGAAGATGCTTCGTGGCATATTGTGATTGGTTGACACCTTTCATGGGCCAATGGGCTTGGCCCATTAGGATTTTAGGTCTGATCCCTCAAGTATAAATCAGGATGCATGCTAGGTCATTTTGTATCTTGAATTCTATAGTTATAGGCGAATCTCTATGTAATTGTA